TGTGTCAACTGGAATTTAGACAGCAAGTGTCTCATTGTCTGAAGGGAGATGTCCACTAGGAATAATGCAAAATCTCCTATGTTTAGAGGGCTAAAAATGACTCTAGCTGAGGGATAAGGAGTGAGAAAGCAGGGGCTAAGGGCCAGATTGGACACATGGATTGCTTCGTAAACATGGATTGCTTCGTTGGGTTGCAAAGGAGATGTTGGGGAGCGGAGCGCAAGGAAGGCTGGGGTCCAGCCCACATCACCTCCCTGCTGTGTTCCCTTTCCCCCCTCCATTTGGTGCTTTATCTTGTTTCCCTCCAGCCTGGCTTCAATATTGGAAAGCAGTCAGGCTCAAGGAAAACATACAGCATACAAGTAGATAAAGCATATCTACATATATGTTTATCTCATTCTGCTGAGTTGTATTTGTATCTTATCTCTTCTTTATAACAAGCTGCACAATTGTGCAACTGTATCATATAATATCATGAATAATATTAATGATGGTTTTGAGAAAGATCGCTTGCTTAACTTAGAAAAATGGAAATGGATGTTAATTTTTATTCTTCTGGTTGAATAGGTAAGCACATGTTTCATAAGCACTTTCCTGTCTGGTTTGGTCCCAGATCCTCCATGCACAGCTGTTGCCAAATAAGCACGCCTGGGACTAGAGTGCAAATCTTTTCCCAAAACCATACGGAGAAGCCAGGAACTCTCTAGCCAGCAGGTTAGAAAAACTAACCTGAACTTGGCTCCTGCTGTCATTTCGCTGAAAAGTGAATGCTTTCTTTAATGGTGTCTTAGATCTGTCTATCCATCTAGTCAGAGTTGGTTTGGTAGCCTGCAGTATTTTTATGCTATATGACAACCTTCTCAAAGTAGTTTACACAGAGTTTTAAAAACAGCAATCTATCGATCAAAAGTGGAATGCAGAAAAATATGGAACTGAAATGGAACTAAACACAAAATGGCAATAAAGGAATGGAAGAGGCCAGGTTTTCTTTTATGTTTAATAGCGCACTGTCCTATGGTGTGAGGTGTAGGGTAATCCCTGTTGTGAGGTGCAGCATGAAATGAATAATTTTGCTTCAGACTGGTATGTGAATGAGGAGATGCTTTCAGGTGCCCCTGTCTGCACACTTGCCATTAGTTTCTTTGTCGTCATTCTTCGTCTTCCTTGCTGTGTGACAGCCCTGTGCTTTTCATGCTCCTCCTTCTAGCAAGTTCACATTCCTGTGTCCATCACCTGATGGTGGTATTGATAGCCAGGGCAGTTTCCAGGAACACATAAAGTCTGGGGCCCAGTATTTCCTTTGGCATCAAAGGAAGGTCTTTTTCCAAGTTTAAATGCCATGCGGAGGCAGGACTGGGTTTCTGGGACCCCAAGCCCATATAGCTGGGAGGAGGGTTGGGGTCCAGGAACCAGGCCCAGCAGTGCCCAGATGGCCAAGGAAGGAGGGGTCATCTCAGCTGATGCCAGTGGCAAGAAGATGGTAGGCTGCTTAGAAGACGTCAAAGCCATTTTTCCTCCTGGCTTTCAAGCAGACCTGGACAATGGCTTTCTAATAAAAAGGCTCTCTCATGCTCATGCTGACCATACAGGCTGGCTTTTTCCAGTTCAAATGAAGACTACTGAAGAAATCAGTATCAAAAGAGTTGAGCAAAGTTAGAATACTGGCCAACAGAGAAAAGCTTGGCTCCAAAGGGAATTCCTCTCCTCCCTTCCAAACTGACATGATCCAAACCAGGATCTAGGCAGATCCTCCTGCCTGAGGGCCAGTCATTGGAGCATCTGATGCTTCTCAGCCAGCCGGCGCTCTCGACTTGACACCATGCCCTGGGATGGATGCTGCTGTGTCCACCCTTCTCTTCATTCACACACTCACTAGACTTTCTCAGATATTTGACAGATTCTCAGGGAATGCCTGGCTTATCTCTGAGTTCTCTAGCCTTGGATTTTCAGCAGCAGATTCCAGCCACTCCTCTTCCTCTGACTCAGAATTTGTTCCCACATCCTCAAATGGACTTTTGTAGGAAGAATGGGCCCAATCTCTAAAGCAGAATCTTCTGTCTTCTCATACCCCCACCTTAGGGAAAGATGGTGACTGAGGGATGGAGGGACTCCCTGAGCTAGAACAACTGGAATCTGATGGTGAGGGGTACTCACCGTACAGTTTATTTGGCAGTTTTAAAATATGCTGAGTAATACTGGGAGAACTGGTTGCAAACTGCCTCTCTCTCTCTCTCTCTCTGTATCACCTTTCCCCACTGTAGCAAATATACACTTATATAATCCTGCTCTGTCCAGTGGGTGGGGCCCCGAGCATGGCTTTGTACCTTTTCACTAAAAGCAGGACACAAAATGTTGCAAAATGCATGGGAAAAGCAAGCAAAAGCAAGCCTATGGGGATAAATACATCAAGAAGAGACGAGGGCAAGAGGAGAGATTCCACAAGGATAGCAGTGCATTGCTTGCCTGCCTGCACCTATCCCTGATTTATGGGTATTTCATTCCCAAAAAGTGCTTATTTGTCCTCACCGTCTCTTTATAGCAAGGGCAGGCAACCTGCAAGCCTACAAGCCCGGTCTTCCCTCACCACTGGCTGTGCTGGCTAGGCTGTAAGAATTTGTCAGTGAAAATATCTCAATGGCTACAAGCTGCCCACTTCTGCTTTACAGTGATTTACACTGAAGCACAACATTGGCACTTCTTCCTTCACCTGAGGTCTATGACCAGCACAGGCCCAAAGCTGACATGCTTCTCCACGCAGCAGCTTGGTTTGCCTAATGTAGTGACTATGAAGAGTTCTGGTGAAACTGATAGTTGCCATAGGGATACTTCTGACTTCTGGTGCCTGACTTTGGATTTTTGTTTCGTAGGGCCCAACATGGCCACCTTTGCTTATTTGACCTTCAAACCATATCCCCAAGTGGGTATCTACAGGGATGTCTTGATCAGGATCATCAATATTTTTAAAAAATGCTGATAATTTTATCATGAACAGTAGTCAAAAGAAAGAAAAAGCCAAAAATTCATGGTTTCCATTCACATGAACCCTTCACTAATAAGGACCCTTCAAGGTATATGTCACACACTTTAATTATGGAAATTGGAAGCCAGGATCCTTTCTTATGCCCTGGCATCCCCTATTTACACAATCCTCCTGTAATTACTTTGTACTCTCTGCACACTAGTGGCAAAGCGGTTTCCAATTTTAATTTTATATGCCTCTTGGGTATGTCATTTTCCTGCTGCTGCGAAAGAGCACCAGTGATTTACATCAGAGATGTTAATTACATCTAAAGGCCAAACACAACCGTTCTCATTCCCTCTTTACTTGAGCGAATCTATCATTCACAGGAGCCCAATGGTGGTTCCAAGGAAGGAAGCACCCCTCCCGCTTGACCCTGCACGAATTAAAAGCAAACCTAAGGGGAGCCCTTTCCCCAGCAGACTGTGGCTTATCTGTTTCTGGAGGTCACGTTCACAGCAAACCCTGCCTGAATGAGACCTCTCAGGGGTTGCTTTCCTCCAATCAGACCAAGCAGTCCAGCAGACTGGCGAGGACACCACTCCTCACAGTTTGGGTTCAAGCTCAAGGCTCCAAATAGTGGCTTCTAATGGTAAGAGGACAGTGAAGAGTCCAGGCTGGAGGGATAACAGCCACCCACTGTGTGAACGCTAGCACAGTTTCTGTGCTCTACCGTGATCTCAAACACTGAGGCCGGCATACTCCCATTTGCAAGCGTGTTTACACAGCCAGGTGCAGCGTGCGCCATTTGTTCACTGCAATGTCACAGTGCAGGAGGGAGGGAAGCTAATTCGCTCATCCTTTGCATCCATCTCAGCCCCAAGAGTAAAGCCAGTTTTCTATTGACATCCATTATGAGCCTCCTGACTCTTTCTTAGCACAGTCCTCTATTTTACCTTTATTTTTAACTTTTCTTAACCACCCAGACAGCCTTAGCTATGGGGCAGTATATAAATGATTAAATTCTATTCTGGCACCAAGTCCAAGTTCTCTGGGATGGGATCCTCCTTATGCTTTTGTATTGAACCACCTTAATTGGTTATGGTGCCAAGGCCCCAAATAGTGTCTGAACCACCAGCATTGTCCCTCCAAGACCCTTTTCTCTTAGATGCAGCTATAATCTGGCTTGTGCGGAGTGCCTCATTTTTAAAATTAGAATGGAGGCAGCTATTGGGTCATCGCTACCTGCAGCATTTTTATGTTTGCGGCTCATGCAGAAGCAAAGTCCCTTTGATCTCCTTTCTCTGAGTCAGGTAACTGTGGCCACCTCTTGCTCTATTTCTTTTCTTTGCTCCCACGTCCTACCTGTTTTTGCCATGTTTGAGCAGCAGCCAAGACCCTCTGATTACAAAGTCTTCTAAACCCCCTGAATGGAGATCCTCTGATCTCTTTTCCTTCAACAGCAGGGGTTGGCCTTGACGGCCTTCACGGCCCCTTCCAACTCTACTAGTCTATGATTCTATGATTCATATAGCAACCTTCACTTCTTTATTTGACAAACATTAATTCTCCCAATCTTCTTTTTTTCTACTTATTAATTAGTTATGTCAAAGTCAATACATTTTTTCATGTGATAGGAGCTGAGTATACTAATGGAGGTATTTTTCTCCACTATAACAAATGTGCGCATGGATGCTTTTCAGAATAGAAAAATATGTAAAAAATAAAATCTGCATTTGAACTATTAATGTGAGTGTGTTTGAGCTAATTTCCCCAACTTGGAAATGTCTGCATACATTCGTGGGAGCGCAAATGAAGGACACACAGAGAAACTTTAGTCAGTGGGAATAGCAGCCCTTGGAATGGAATACCTCAGCCTTGAATTTTGGAGGAGTGACCCCTGTGCCAAGAATTCGTAGTTCTATCCCCAACCATTCTAAATGAAGGCTGTTCTGAGAAGTCTTAAAGTGGCAAGAAATTCATCTTTTTTTGCTCATCTGCACAGCCACCTGCCTGCATACAGCTGCTCAGAAGTACTTGCCTCACAAGGCGAGTTTTTCATCGGAGCCGGAAACACAGCACTGGTCACCACAACAGTTTCTGCAATTGATGACTCACTGGTGTTAAGCAGAAGTGCACATTCTGGAAGGGGAAAAAAGGAGGGGAAATGAAGTCAAGGTTAGCCCATGCTTCAGGAGACGTTTTGTGCAGTGATGTAGTGTTTGGTTTCAAAGGCTGAGCACCTGTGCAGGTGAGTACCTGGGGATTTTCATGCAAAGGCTTGGTGCTCCCTCAGTATAGCCAAAGATCTTCAACTCACACCTTGGAGGCCTAATGCAGTGTTCTGCTACCCTGTGCCAGGTCCTCCAAGCCTTGGAGTCCCACACACTGATTACCCGGTCAGCCGGCCTGTGGGAAAAGACCTTGTTCTAGATCTGCTATTAGCAGGGATAACATATGGCTCAAGGCATTTTTCAATATTCTTTGGATGTAGCAATGCAGTTTCGAATACTCTCAGGTCTCTCCTTGGGAGTGATATGCAAATGCTCTGTCTGCTTCCTTCACAAACAGCGTTTATCCCTGGCTTGGGATTTGTTTTCTTCACTTGATCCGTATCAAAAGGCTTCCACTTTTTTTTTTTTTAAATTGATTTTGAGTGAACCCTCGCCGCTATGAAAGATGCAAAAGTAATATTTCACTGAAGCTGGAGGCTGAAGGTCATTTCTATCATCATAAAGGCTGCAGGAAAAGAACTCCAAAGGAATGGAAATCTTAGTGCTGTGAATTACTGAACCTTGGAAATGAACAACTACTTATTCTTTCCACAATAGCTTAAAACAGTAAAGAACTACAAGGCTAATTAACTAGGCCGAGAGTCTCTAAACCATCTCTCAAAATGCTGGATATGTTCAGCAGGATCATTTAAAACCTGATTTCTAACTTTAAACAAAGAATATACTATTTACTTACTTACTTACTTTGTACAAAACCTGCCCATTAGCATCATGTTCTCTTACATACACAGACTTTTCCTCTTACCAGCATTCTACCAAAATCTGTCACTCAGTTTCTTGAAAGTGTTCTATAAAAGAGGCTTCTGTTTTTCTGCCTCATTCCCAGGTTGCCTTAAAATGTCTTTTGGTGCCACTGAGATTACCTTATCAGTGTGAAGTGGCCAAAGATGGGTGCTCATCTCTTTCCTTATGGCTGCTTGTACTTCTTGAGCCTCTTGGGAGGGGTTACATTATTATGCCTTTCCTTGGACTTTAATGGAAGTGTGAGAAACCCGAGAGGAACAGATCCAAGTGTACAACACACTCACTCACTCTCAGCCACGTCTTAACTAAAGGCAAGCCCAAGAAGCCAATACACAGCCCATAGAATTTCACTGAAATGTTCTTCTCTTTTGAATTTTTAGAGCAATTTCCTTTCCATTAAATTTAATGTGATTAATAGATATTACACACAATTTATCCCCTGCCATCATAGGGGACCTATTCCCCTGATCAGTTCAATGCCCCCACATTTTCCATCTATTCTGAGACTCTAGATTCCCTTAAAATGTGGAGAACCCTGTCAATAAAACCCTTCTAAAATGTACTGGAGTTCACTGAGTGTTCCAGAGAGGGCTGCCAGTGGGTGTCAAAACAGATTGCAAAGATTGATCTCTGGGAAAAACAGGTGGAAGTGAGCCAAATGTCTCCTGACCTCAGTGGGACAGGGCAAGCGATGCACTGGGCGTCTGTGGGGTGGCTGGCCTGGTGGAGGCTTGGGTGAGCGCAGCAAGAGCAACAAGGGATATCTTGCTGTTCCTGCTGAGAGGCACACTCACCATCGTTCATAATCCACACTGGGGCCAGCCATGCAGTTCCAGCTGAATGGACAAATTTTGTGATGGACCATTGGTTGTCAAGGAAAAAGTTTATTACTGGAAAAATAAACAGGCCACCCTGAGGAAAATGGTCTGGGTTTGGAAGCCACAAGAACCAAGCACGGCTCACTGTCCGGGGCTGGGGGTGGGTTGTTGTCTCATGCGCATCAGATCATTGCATGAAGCCACTGCAACATACCTTTCAATGCACACAAGTGGTTATACTGTGGATTTCCAATGTGCCACAGATGAACTTCTTGGGGGGTCAATGAACTCTGGGTCCAGCCACACTCTCCATCTTCAAAAGAGCAGTAGAAGCCAGGGGGTAGTTTTTCTGCAAAAGAGCAGTTGCAAGAGACAAAGAACCGATCAGAGACACGGAACTGGGCACCGAATAAAAGGAAGCAGTTCTCCTTATGTAAGGATGTTGTTTCCACACAGTGCTGCAGCAACAACCTTGTGCAGTGTTTTCCTAAGGGCTCCAAGAGCTTTTGTACCCCATCTCAACATACCCTTAATGTGGTGGCTCCCAGCCTTAGGTTCTCAGATGTTGTTGGGCTACTGTACCTGCCATCCCTGGCAATTGACCATGCCAGATGGTGATGATGGAGTTGCAGACTGACAGCATGTGGGGATCTAAGGCTGGGAACCTCTTCCTCACAGCCATCTGCAGCATAAGCCAATACAATTAATTCCATGCTGCAGATGTCTGTCTGTTGCAAGTGCAGGGGCAAGAGAGCAGCGAGGCTGACAGAGCATGGCATTCAAAACACAAGCCCATGTGCTGATGGCTGAGATTCAGGGCTTGGACCAGGGACATCTAGTTTGTATCATGTATGTTGTTAACAGTGGCACATTACCAACAATCATAAATAATAGCTGTAGCTTAACATTTAAACCTATAGGCATAGTCCAGTGAGGTTGCTCTGAGGTTAGTGGGCATCCTATGTATGGTGGAGTGCGCAGCTGAAAGTTGTCTCCGTTCTCCTCCTACCATGGGAAACATGTTGATGGCTGATTGTGGCCATCCACCCGTTTGGCCGCAGAGCATATGGGAAAAAGGTGGAGGAACTGCCGGGATACTTTGCATGCTGGAAGAGCTTGTCTCCTTCCCTTCCTGCCCTCAGAAATCCATCTCTGTGGCCACACTCATGACCGTGGGACTGCAGCTGGTGTGGTGGTTTGTGCAACAATGACAAGGGAGGGCACAGCAAGTTTCCAAGGCTGGAGCTGGAACTTGGAAAAATTCTATGGCCAGGTGGACTTCTGTCTGCCAAGACAGAGGATTGTGCTGCCCCTTCACTTTTGATGTTACATCAGCTAGCAGAAAATAAGAATAAATTGTAATAATCCAAAACCATAAATTGGAGGTGGGAGGGTTTTCATTTGGTGAGACACCATAATCATTTGGTAGTTGGCATCATGGACGCATTAAAATTGTCCTTGATTGTTCAGCTAGGGTTTCTTCAGATAGCATGATTTCAACAGGTTTCCACCATAAGTACAGAGCACTGTTTTTGAGCTGTTAGGGTGAATTAGCTTTCCATCTGCTGTAAGTGCTTTCAGTTGCCCCAGGAATCTGAGCACTCTGTATTTCTGCTTTTCTGCTATATTACCTCTAGGTGGCACTATGGTATGGTGGAATAATGCAAAGACACAAGTGAAAACCTCACTTCCTTTCATTTTCAGAGTTAACTGCTGCTTGTTCCTTGTTCTAAAAATCTCATGGAACGTGCTTTTCAGACACAGGAACAAAATTGGATGGTCACAACATAACCATAAACAACCATAAACAACTATGAGTAGTGAATATTCTGTGAATGATAAATGCCCCATATAGAAAAGCCCCTGAAAGGAATGCCTTTGATGTAGATAGTATCCATTAAATGCTTGTCGTTAACCAAGATGATTCCTTGTCTGTATGACTGAACAATTTGCTATAAGGAAGTGATCAGGACCCTGTCCACAGGGTCTGTTCTTTTTGATTTGTTGTGGCAGAGAGTCGATCCTCACATGTATCTCTCTGTGCAGATCTGCCCTATCAGTTGAAGGGGATGAGTACCCTGCATGAGCACATTGGAGTACAAAATGTAATAGGGCTTGGTATTAGGGTGCCTGAGTTAACTGTGCCTTGTGTATATGATCACACTATTTCCAAGCAGAGCAAGCATTTCTTTTCCAGAATTTTCATTGCTTGACTTTAATAGAGACTGGGTTATTCTTACACTTCTGCTTTGGCAATAATCATGTGACACGTTGGAGTTTCTTTAGACCTACAGATTTTCTTTTTAACAAAATCAATGTAATATAGTGCCTGTAGTTTGGAAACTCATATATTTATTCAATTACTGTCTTGCCATCTTACGAAAGTTTCTATGCAGAAAGTAATATGGATTTTTTTAAAGTCATTGGATTCTTGGCCCCAACTAAATCAATAGTAAGTCTAATGTGTTCACGCTCAGAGTGTTAGATCAGCCCATGGCTCTACAGAAATCAGTTCTCTTTTCTCCTCTCTTTTTGTTCTGCTCTGCTTCTTTCATTCCTGCTGTGGTGCCATTAAATTAACATTTTACTTTAGCCCATCCTTTCCTTAACACTCAGAGTGGGCAACAGAATTTCCTTATCTCATTCCCCTGTGCAGACAGACCATGTTGTTTATTTAAAACTTTTACTTGTCACTTTCTACTCAATTTTGTTTATATAAGTCAATAAAATGTAGCAGGTTCAACAGTAAGTATTGTTGTTGTTGTTAGTCGCAAAGTCGTGTCCGACACATCGTGACCCCATGGACAACATTCCTCCAGGCCTTCCTGTCCTCCACCATCCCCCAGAGTCCACGCAAGCTCATACCAACTGCTTCTAACCACCTCATCCTCTGCCGTCCCCTTCTTTTGCCATCTATTGTTCCCAGCATTAGGCTCTTCTCCAGGGAGTCCTTCCTTCTCATTAGGTGGCCAAAGTATTTGAGTTTCACCTTCAGTATCTGGCCTTCTAAAGAGCAGTCAGGGTTGATCTCCTCTAGGACTGACCGGTTTGATCGCCTTGTGGTCCAAGGGACTCATGGGAGTCATCTCCAGCACCACAGTTCAAAGGCCTCAATTCTTTGGCGCTCAGCCTTCCTTATGGTCCAACTTTCACAGCCATACATTGTAACTGGGAAAACCATAGCCTTGTAAGTATTAGGTTGCTGCTATACCCAGTTTCCACCTTTGTAGGTATTGGGATAGAGATGAACTAGGGCATCACAGTGCTGGACAAAATTCATGAGTGCTGTGGTAGCCTATAAGTTAACTATACAGTTAGGGTTAGATCCAAGGGCTTTCCATCCATCCAGACACGGTTTCCAGTTCATGTCAAGTACACCCCTGCTCATTGTTTAGTCAGTTCCATCCTGCTTCTATATTAATCTGCATTTTTAAACAGTCTGCACAGAAGCTGTATTTAAATATGAGCTTTTGCATGTATTTTTCCCACAGATTATCCATTTGATCTAATAAGTATACCATCTGAAAGATAACTTGATTTGTGTTCCACAAGGTAGCCTGAGTGGTGTGGATCAGGCTATTTTGCTTCCAAATGCGGTTCAAACAAAATCCTCACGAAACCTTGGACATGCCTCCTATTCCAAACGAGGCTTGGTAAACCACTGAGCCCCAAAACATTTCACCACAAGCCAGACGTGTGGCTCAGGGTGCTCTTGCATGCTCACTCTCATGGAGGGAACTAATCAGCACATGCAAAGAAATATGCACAGAAAAGGGCTCATTCCACAGAATCCAATGTGGGAATGCAATTAGGCTGAGCATTTGTGAATGGAAGACATTCGTGAATTCAGGCACATGTCCTCATGCTGCTACACACTTGCACAGCTATTCTTCTAAAATACAGAAGTGACCATCAGGGTGGAGCTGAAACTAGCAGCAATGGAGGGACTGTCCAGAGAGCTGCCTTGGCTACAGACCATCTCAGTCCTGCTCAGTGAAGAGTATAGGAAATGCCAGGCCACAGTCAGCCCTCAGTGGTTGGCTCTCTTTGGGGATGGAGTGCTACATCATCATCACACTGACTGCTCGGTTGCCTGTGGACTGAGATCTAGCAAGGCAGGAGAAGACATGGCTTAAAACAAATGATCCAATGGGAGGAGGAGGAGGAGCCTTGAGTATCAGCCCCTCCATTCACTGCCTCCCTTTCTAGCCAAAGCTGTTTGCCTGCAAAAATGTTCAGAAAAAATATTGGATTATGAAGTTCTCCTCTTGAAAGAAGATGTCACATTCATTCTTCTTTCATCGAAATCTTTCACTGTCTCATCCTCAGGCTAAGGTCTGAATCAAAAGTCAGAACCAGGCGTATCCAGAATTCTTCTTGAAACAGCTCAGCGTGCCATCCAGTTTAAATCACTTCAGTGCCTGCTGTACAGTATACAGAATGGTGTAAACAAGCCAGAGCAGTCGGGGGGAGGCATCTAACCTTGCCTAGGGCCCAGGGAAAAAATTGGCAGGAAAGCTTATTGTGCAAGGAGCAATGGAGCTGTATTAAAAGAACAATTGCTAGTCCACTACACTACTTTCTTTCTGACATAAATATGTCTTTATAAACCTCTGGCTGTCTTGTGCTCTGAATGCACAGACTTCTTCACTTAGTGTAATGTGTCCTACCTGTGATAAACCAGTGACAGTCATTCATTGCAATTCCGCCTCAAGCGTCAACATTTCTGGCTCATGTGTCATGTGGCGTTTTCCTGATTCTCTTGGTTTTCACATGTCAGGTTCATACCAGCCTAATCCAGAGAAGCAATGGCTATGCACAGAACTCACCCAAAAGTTTGCTGTGGTTATCATATCCACATTAGAATGGGCTCACATGTGCATGTTGATCATGCAAAAGCCATCTTACATCAAATGGTGCCGACACGGCTTTTCCATCACCTCATGTCTAGCTTTGATATTCAGCCTGTTCATTCATAATGAAATGCAAATAATAACTTAACAATCAGCAACTCCCCCCCACAAAAAAAATCTGTAATCAGTGGCTCAGCATTGTCCTCAATTTCAAAAGTAGGTGTCTGAGAGTTTCATGCTTCTAGAGCACTTAAAGGTTTTTTTAACGTCAGGAGCAAGACTGATAAAACAAAGGTGAGCAGCCTGTTTGACCCGAGGGTCCACATGCTGAGCTGCTCGGGGGTGGGGGGTGGGGAGGGGGATCTCAGATATGTGTATGCATAGACACACATGGTTTTAACCTACTCACCCACATCTCAGAGGATGGAGAGGGAGAGATTTAAACCTGCCTATCTCTGCCCTCAGAGATCAGGAGATGAGATAGCTTATGGGGTGGGTGGGGGAGCTCCAAACCGCTCTCCCAGTGAGTCAACTTGACCTCTGTATCAGAATTTCTTGAAGAGGACAAGGCCCTTCCAGCAGTCTGTATTACTGCTGGTTAAAGAACAGCAGAAAAAGTTATCTGTCCTCTGCCCCCAAGCTGATCAGCTGGATTGTGGCGGTGCAGTGGGCGAAGTACCCAGCAACTCCCCAGTCTGTGGGGCCAGTGACTGATTCCCACTTAGTTAGACTAGCACATTTCCATTAGCTGATCAGTGCATCTGTGAATCACCACAGGAAACAGTGGCTTTCAGGACCGACCCCATTCAGTGATAAACTTTCAGACTCCAGATGAGTGTTTGGGCTGCAAGAATTGAAGTTCTTGGAACTTCTCTCAAACCAGACAACACAAACTCGTCACTGAAGAATAAGTCTGTTTTGCTCAGATGCTGCATTTCATGAAGGATCGCTCTTGCATTGCACACACGTAGGATCCTCCTTCTGGTCTGATACAAAATGGAATATGACAGGGACACTGGCTAGCTGAAAATCTAAGTGGATACCTCTGATTGCTTCCTGGTGGCAAGGCTGAGCCGTGTTTTGTTGCCTGAGACAAAGCAGCAGAGACCTCTCCACTGCAGTCAAGGTACATGGCTGCCTTGCAAAGCCAGTCAAGCTGTTTTGTCATCTGAAGCAGAAAATCCTACAAGCATCTTTCTGTTTCTCTCTGACAGTGAAATTACCACAAAAATACATAGCTAACCATTGCTACCCTTTCACAAAACCCCAAAGGAACTTTTGGATGTAACTTCCTCACTGTGTTGAAAGGTAGGCCTTGTATCACAGCTACAGGCTTTTTCATGAAAAGTTAAACTCTGGTTTAATATTATATCCAAACCAGGCCACTGTGGCAACATTAGACGATAGATTTTGCTCCACCAGTGGTGGAGAATTGAAGGGTCTATGCTTTGCCATTTCATGAGGAAGGAACCCTGTTCATCATCTCAGACTTTCTATTGAAGAGTAAAAGCTATTCACATATTTAGCTGCAACAGTGTTGGTTATTACATTATCATATTGATCTATGAATAATTATTAAAAGGCGATATAAGTAAACAAATGTAACAATAGAGTCTATTTCAAACAACATACTTTCTGATAAATACTATTGTTCATAGTATTGACAATTACACACAAATCTGAGTCTTCATTCTGTTTGTAATTTCAGAATTTAACACATGGAACATAATGCCAGATAAAATAGTCTGTATCTAACATAACTTTCTGGAACTTGCCAAATCCATGTCAAATAGACATTTGCAGATTTTCCTCAGTTGATCATAGCTTTTATGTTTGCTGCACATGATAGTGTTAGGAATGAAAGGGATGGGTTTTTTTCCTTGAGTTCCAAGGCCAGGCAAATATGGCCTCATCAGATGATGAGCAGTCCTGGGAACTCGAGTTCTCAGATGCTGAAATGGGAGAAGTGGAGGGGTTCATTTCAAGAGAACCCTCCCCAGATGTTCAGGAAAAGTTGAGAATAGTCAGGATTTCCAACTGCAAGGAGCGTGGGGGAAAAAACCTCCTACCGTTGAGCCTGGCACAACTCTTGACCCCATGACATGACATCAAGAGAGAAGGGTTGACCAACTAGAGGAGAGAAGGACTGAGAGGACAGGAAAAAATATGTAAGCTGCTTTAAGTTCCTTGAAAGGAAAAAAGGTGGGATGTAAAGAAATCCTAGAATGTGCACCACACCCTCTCCCCTAGATAGTCCTTTATTCAAATGTGTAATGTCACATCTTCTTAGAATGCCCCCAATGTCAATAAAAAAATTAAGCAGAATTGGGTGGCATATATACAAGTTGTGAAACAGTCCATAGGCCAATTTTGCTTGGTCTGGCTAGAGAGCTGGCAGCTTCTGCAGGAGAAGGGATGGTGGCTTGGCCTGAAGATTTTTCTCTGTGTGTGCATGCATTGGGAGATATCAGTATGGACCTGTGCAGTCTCAATATATTAGAGCACAAAGGAAAGACATTATGAAGAACCCTTTGTCAGCCCACAAACTCCCAGTATCGCATCCCCTGTGTGCCACATTTGGAGTACTACAAAGTCAACAAGTCTGATCTCAAATTTCCCATATCCGGTAGAGTATTCCCCTATTATAGGCAAGTACACTATTTGAGCTCTCAGAAGGGGAAATCTAGCAAAGCAATCACAAAATTGCTATCAACAAAACTAATATATCCAGCATGTAGAGTAATCCAAAAACATCTGTGTGGATCAGTCCTCAATTTACAGAGAACTTGCGGTAGTTCTGTGGAGGAAGAGCACCGCCGTATTATTGAAGTCCTCCGTTACTATTTCCTTTGTGGGTAGTTCTGTACTGGCTCACATCTACCAGTGAAGTTCAAATGAATCAGCCCCTTTTCATTATAAAATGGTCTCCATAGGACTGTCAGGATGTTGCAGTCACCTGCCTGTGTTTCATCTTAAACTCACACAACTCATTTCCTCTCCCAACCAGAGGATGTGCCAGGAAAACTCATTCTCTAAATCTCATGCCTCACGCTTCCACCTCCCACACACTGTGAGTGAAGCCTGAATCACTCTGCTTGATGGTGTTTCAGCTGCATAATTCAGGTCTGCTGCATGGTTTCCTGTGATAGCCTAGGCCTTTGTCTTTCCTGCCTGCTTCTCTCCCTGCACCACATCCACTTTTGTTATATTGACTTTTCCAGACTTCAGAGTGCTCCCCTTTCCCTTTTCCTTGGATAGATCTTTCATCGACAAAAGCATGTAACACATGAGAAGGATTTCTCTTTCCAGTGAATTTCTGTGCATCGCTCTGGGGTTAGGTCCTCATTTACTTAGAGCAGACTCACTGAAATCAATGTGGTCTGTGTTAGTGTAGCCTAGCTGAAGTCCTATAGGTCTACTGTAAGTAGAACAAACTCTGGGTCCAGTCTTTGATGTACATGTAACTTTCCTTCCTTTTAAGTCCCCATATTTTAGTATGTATCTTGTCTTTTTCTTGTAAGAACCAAAGGCCGTACAAAAAATCCTAAAAGTGTAAGAACATAAAAGAGCCCAGCTGGATCAGGCCAAAGGTCCATCGAGCCCATCATTCTGTTCACACAGTGGCTGGCCACATACCCATAGAAAACCACAAAGTAGGCCATGAGTACAACAGCATTTTCACACCCATGCTCCCTAGCAGCTGGTATATATAGGCAATGTAGCATATAACTATCAGAGCAAGTCACCAATGATAGCCTTATCCTCTATGACGTTATCCAATTCCCTCTTAAAGCCTTCCAAATAAGTGGTCAACTCTATGCCCTGTGGAAGTCAATTCTATAGATAAATTATGTGCTGTGGGAAGCAGTCCTGAATCACTCACCAGCCAACTTCATATGATGACCCCTCTGGATTCTAATATTTGGACTCACTTTGGATTTAAATGACTTCCATTTTCCATTTATCACTAATAACTTCCTTGGCACTGCTGATGACCTCCAACATGCTGCTGTTCTCTTGGTCTTCAGGTGCCTTTCCTAACCTTTGGTATACATTTCATCTGAGCCTTTAGTATGGCAGTTCTAAATAACCACCAAGCATTCAGAAGGGCATTAATCCTCTTCACTCCCACTTTCAACTTCCTTTTCTGATTCTCTCATTTTAAAGAAGTTGCCTCTTGAAGATGATATATGGGACTCCATTAGTCTTCCTTGACAAGATTCCACTTAGATATAGATTAAATCTGATAGCACTGTGGTCACTATTTTCAATGGTTCCACAACATTTACATCTTGTACTAGGTCCTAGCTGATGCCACTTAAGATTAAATCCGGGGTCATCTCCTCTCTGGTAAGTTCCACCATTGGTTGAAACCTCTTTCATGACTGGAACATGCATTCATCTGATCCAGGTGGGGGTAACTGAGGTCACCCTTTCTTATGACGACACCTTTGTTTGACGACAACCCTGATTTTCTTCCTTGTCCCCATTTTATCCTCCCCAAACTGCTATGTGATAGGTTAGACTGAGAGTCAATGACTAACCCAAAGCCACCACTGAACTTCATGGCTGACTGGAGACTATCTTCTATATATCTATATAGAAGTGTATCTATACATAGATATATCGTCTATTTATGATAGAAGTTTGAAACAGGCACTGGGAAAGCCTGTGTGTAGCTTCTTTAAAAATGCAGAGCTCTTCCTGCACCTCAGGGCATTAACTGGATCTTCCAGTAGAACAGAGTATGGAACCATTTCCTGGATGGCTTTTTTTCTTTCAAAAGCAACCTTTGTTTTGCATTCCTTTGGCTTATATTATAAGAACATGATCATGACAACATATGGGATATTGTACCTGAGAGGACCCATAGGCATTGCTTCCCTTGTGGAGAAATGCCAGAAGGAATTTGGAATTCCCCCGCCGCCTTTGTCAGAAAAGCTAGTGGCCACAGCTTGCTGGAATAGTTCTTCCGCATTTAGTGAGTGCAACATTTCAGGCATCATTTGAGCGTCCTTTGTGTGACTGAGAAGGCATTAGCATGGTATGAGGCTCACTCCGTGACTGGGCCAGCCACTGCCTCTCAGCCTAAACTACCTCACAGGGTTCTTGGAAGGACCAAATGGACCAGAAGAGGAGGCTTAAATAAGCTGCCTTGAGTTCCTTGCAGGAAAAAGGTGGAAATATGCATACATAAGGCAGTCTCCATTGGCCTAAAACAGAGAAGTGCTTTGAAAACTTGGTTTTGAGTGTACTTACTGCACAGCTGTCCTTCATCCTCTCCATCTGCACAGTCTCTGGCAAAGTCACACACCTGCCCCAGCTTGATCGTTGTTCCATTCCAGCAGCTGAAGGAACCTTGCAGAGCCATTTTTGAGGCAGAAGGAGGTCCTACGGACAAAAAGAAGACAGATCCATTCAAATCAAGCCTGAGCTGTTTGTGCAAACCAAAGGGCCATAAGAATCAGAAAACTCAAAGGCAGTCAGAGCCTGTTTACCGATGTGTCAAGAAAGCCTGGTTCACAACATTGCTTCTCGTCATCTTGACACCTTTGTATGTCTATGGGAACAATTATTTCTGCAATTTCTACCCATTTCAATGGGGCAGGAGCAGCAGACATTTCCAGTGTCCCTTGCGAATGGCTGTTTTCACTGCAAAGTGTACATCAGGAAGAAAACCGATCAATAAAATACCTTCTTCTTAATTAAGTCCCATTTTCATTACTTTAAACAAGTAGGATTCGGTTAGACAGTATGCACTGTGGCTGAGAACACGGGAGGAAAATATTAGACGCGTGCCCAGCAACACAGAGCCCATGGGTGCGCTAGAGCCCACTGAGACCCCTTCGACTCCCACCCACCCACCCTCTCCTTGTGCAATATTCTCCTCCTCACTGTAGCAACTTCCTCCCTACGGCAAGGATGGCCTCCCACCTGCAACCGTTTTCTTCCCCTGGTTAAAGAAATTTCCCCCCTTTAATGGTCATGGTGATTATCTTCCCTCTGCAGCTGCTACCACTGCCATTTCCTTCCTTCCTTGGTCTTTACTACCATTCACCTAAGAGGCAGGGTGTCATCCAACTGAGAAACTTTTGCTGTTTCTCTATCTCAGGATGCGGTGAGCACAGCGGAAGTGGTGGCGGGAGGTAATTGCAAGTAGGGGGAAGGTTCATTAACTTCTCCCCCAACAGTAGTTTGCAGAGGTGCCTGTAGACACTTTTCCAAAATGTGCCATGTGCCTGAAGATGCAAAAATGTTGCCTCCTGTGGGGGAATTGACACTAGGCATTTTCACTGGCATTGTAATGCCTGACTCACTGATGTGACACATGATGTTCACTCCAAATCATCCTCGTTGCGCTATTTCTGCCATTATATCCTGGATTTCTTCAGCCCAGTTATATCACAACTTTTTAATATGTTGGTGTTTTCCAAGGTACATATTCCAGTGCAGGCTAAACATGTGGTACTGCAGGCTGGGGAGGAGTCACACTGTAAGAGGCAGTGTCCTCTTGGGAGTCAAAAGCAACCACCACCACCACTACAGCAATTCTGAGAGGGAAATGAACCTGATCAGCTTTCAGCTGCTTTCCAACACTCTCAACATTTCCCCTCCTACCATGGCTTCCTCCTTTCTCGCTCTCTGACTTCTCCAGTGAACTGCAGAATAAATACAATACTGTTCTGGCTTTTCTGCCCTGCCCTGCAAGGAACAACTAGCCAAAATGTGCTATCATATGCATGGCTATCAAAAGTAATCACCCTGCTTCAGTAGCACTTACATACTTGTCTACTAAGCAGTAACTCTCAGTTTTGGGAGCACTTAGAAGGAAGGGACTGCAGGTGGCACAGTGGTTTAAACTGCTGTGCTGCTGGGCTGGTTGATCGAAAGGTTGCTGGTTCGAATCTGCATAATGGGGTGAGCTCCCGTTGCTCTGTCTTGGCTCCTGCCAATCTTGCAGTTCGAAACCATGAAAATGCAAGTAGATAAAAAGGTACCACTTCGGTGGGCAGCTAACAGCGTTCCGTGCACTTCGGTGTTTATCATGTCAGCCACAGGACCACGGAGACTGTCTGGGGACAAACACTGGCTCCCTTGGCTAGGAAACGGGGATGACCACCACCCCCTAGTGTCAGGCATGACTGGCCTTAAGGTCAAGGGGAAACCTTTACCTTTACTCAGAAGTAAACCGCACTGCAATGGTGTTGACTCTTTGGGAAGTCAACATGGATGGGGTGCTGCACTTGCCTTAAGAAATGGCTTTTTGGGGAAAGGTGAGCAGGGTGCTAATCCTGCTGGTTTCATCCCATGGAAGGGAGGAGAATGGCTGTCAGCTACAGCAGCGTCCCTGCTGCTCCCCAACCTTCTCATTCTCCATGATTGTGGTGATGCATTTTCGGTGGGGGCATTAAAAATCCCTCTGCTTGTTCATTCCTTTCCATTGGGGCATAACCTAACAGATGGGAAATCCATTTTACAATTAGGGTCATTTCCAGATACACATCCCCTTTCCAAATCCTACTTCTCCTATAAATGCGTTTGTGTGTGACACAAGGTCGTATCTTCAACACAGTGGAAACTACATCCTAGTCATTAGCCTGAGCCCCAACAGTGGTAAATGTGTTTTGCATGAAGAATGTTCCCTGATGAATAGAACGACTGCACTCTACAATTTATGAATTGCATCTAAATAAGCCAGAAGAACATCAGCCTGCAAGGAAGAAAGAGGTACCTTTGCTTCCCTTTCTTTTTTCTATCCATTTGGGCAACACCAGGGCAAAGAAAGGCTATAATTAAGCTCTCTGTTTCATGACAAACATGCCTTCATCTGTTGATCATGATAGGCATACAGAATGATAGTTCCACTTTGGTCCAAATATGCCATTTGGAGAATCACTTCTCTATCTGTTATATTGAACTGCTATTGCAATCCATTTTAAATCAGGCTCCGATCTAGTGGTTGGCTGCAACCTATTTCTTCTAAATCAGTGATTTGGAAGAAAAGGTGCTTCTTATCACTTTGGTGATTCTTCTTTCCACACGAGAAAAAGTCATTTTATTCATACCTCTCTAACCATTTGTACATATTTGTATGACATTGTGGCAGTTCATTAAATCCTGCCAAAAAAAAAAAGTTACAGACACGTGGTGATAAGCAGAGAAGTTGCCCAAGGCTTTATAAGAGGAGAAAAAACAAAGCTCTGCTTTGTAACTCAGCTCAAGTGTGATGTTAATCTGAGTCACCCCACTGACTGGGCTGAAGCATGAGAACCCACACAGGGTTGAGTACGGGCTGAGAGTGGTTGTCCTTGTAACATGGTTTGTGGGTGAAACGTGGATTGCAGTTTTGCCTGAACCCAGCTATGCTAACAAGCCATGGCTTGTGAACCATGAACAACCTAGGAAAAGGACCTGTTGGCTGCGTTCAGACAACATAGCAACCCACATTTCTACAACAATGTACAGTTCTGTGACCACCCACGCTCAGCCTTGAGTATGGGCCATCACATTGGCTGAGCTCAGGCACTATCTGAGCCAGTGAGTTGGCCAGTACAATGTTTTTTTTGTTTTTATTTTTTCTTAAACAGCCCCACTGGATAATAATAAATGCTAGAGATTTGTCTGGTCCCTTTTAACATCAAGAAAGTAATCATAATGAGATGCTTGATGGTGGGTACTTGGGTATAGAAATCTGAGCACAGCATATACCCCGTTTCCCCAAAAATATGACCTAACCAGGAAGTAAGCCCTAGCATGATTTTTCAGGATGTTCATAATATAAGCCTTACCCCCTGCCAAATAAGCCCCAGTTAAGACATACGGTATTCAATACAATAAACAAATACTTAATTATAATGTATATTATCATTTATTTTAAGTATTTATGCCAATAATATTATTTATTTATATTTAATTATATATTTTATTTATTATTTTATAATTCAATAAGTATTTGTAAATACTGAACCGGGCGCCTTTGGATGAGAGGTCAATGTCTATGTAAACAGATGAACGTGAGACTTATTGCTGAATGACCAATCAGAGTACAGACACAACGCACAAATAACGTCAATACGTCATGTGTTGTAATGGATGTACTTAATGCATAGATGCAAAATGCAAGACGGGTGCCAAAAAGAAAGAGCTACTCCATTGAGTACAAGGGAGGAATCGTGGAGGACTCTTGGGGCAAGAATCTTATGGCTTTTGTAAAATAACAACAACAACAACAACCAGAAGCATCAAGTGGCAAAACCTAGCCAGCAGCTTCTATATATTTTAAAGAGAAACACGGCTAATTGCATGCTTATGCAGCCCTTCACTTGTGCAAGGGCGGAGGTGTATGTTGTTCAGGTATACCTGCACACAAAATGCCAGGCTTGGAGCAGTTCATATGCAGCAGCAGTGACTTAACAGGAAGCGAAGCCCTCGAGGCCCATCAGGGTAAGTGCAGCTCACCAGTCACATAGTGCTGACTGCCAAGTGTGTCACAACCCCACTGTTTTTGTCACCCCAGGCAGATGGCAAAACAGGTTTGCAGAGCCTGGCAAGCACCAGACAAGGCTCCTGGGCTGCATTCTGCTTGATGGGTAGGTCATAAGTTGTGCAGGGCTCCTTTAGAGTAGATGGCATCAGGGCTTGAAGCAGAAAGCAAACAGAACCGCAGACTCCCAACCCAAATCTAGAGTCATCCAGCAATGTCTCTTACAGAGGAAAGTAAGCTACGAGGACAGGACCCCCACCTTATAGAAAATGGATCATAAGAACTGTTTCCCATCAACAGTATCCAGCAGATTGAACAGGTAAGCACACAGATCACCTGGTCACAGCCCCCCACAATAGACTGTGATGTACTGCATCTCTATTGAAGGTGTAATAAGTATTTCTAAATGTGCATCTCTAGAAATGTCTTAACATATTCAAATATTATACACAGTCCTCTTCTGTCCTGTTTTTGCTGATTTGTATGTGGCAACTACTTGGCACATGCAGTCAGGGTTTTGTGCTTTCCTTTTATGAAAACAGTCGCTGCAAGGTCCAGTGGATGGTCTGGGAATGAGTGGCCTTGTAAATGTTGTCAGACTGCCATTTCCATCATCCCTTACAATGGCAGTCCCACCTTTGGAGTTGTCATGCTGGCTAAGGCTGATGGGAGACCATGTAAGAGCAAGTTAATGCTTTTTCTCCCCATCGTTCTGGACAGACAGGAGAACTTGGGATGCTTTGGCTTGATTTGCACAAGGCAAGAAGATGCGGCTGATGCTCAAAATTAAGTTCTAGTATATCTCTCAATGTGTGTGAAAGATGTTGTGCGCACTTAATGCCACTCTGAAATTGCCTCCTAATAATGCATTTCCCACTTCTCTGCCATGATTTGAGCA